TGGGGACAGGGCTGGCCTGGCACAGGGGTGTGTGTGCAGCCTGGGGACAGGGCTGGCCTGGCACAGGGGTGTGTGTGCAGCCTGGGGACAGGGCTGGCCTGGCACAGGGGTGTGTGTGCAGCCTGGGGACAGGGCTGGCCTGGCACAGGGGTGTGTGTGCAGCCTGGGGACAGGTCTGGCCTGGCATAGGGGTGTGTGTGCAGCTTGGGGACAGGGCTGGCCTGGCACAGGGGTGTGTGTGCAGCTTGGGGACAGGGCTGGCCTGGCACAGGTCTGTGTGTCTGTGTGCAGCCTGGGGACAGGGCTGGCCTGGCACAGGGGTGCGCGTGTTGAAACTAGGGTCTGTGGCTGCCCTTGCACAGGGTTTGCACGCGTGTGTTTGCACAGCGTATGGACTGTGCCTGGCCTCGCATGGGGTTTGTGTGTGTACGAGCAATTGGGGGACAGGGCTGGCCTTGCCCAGGGGTGTGAGCAAGGAGGGACATGTGTGCCGAGCATGCGGTGCTCTCCCAAAGACCATGCTTGTCTCCCACGTGGCCGGTGAGCAGGCGAAGACACGAGGTCCCCGCTCCGCCATCAACAGTCCCCGTGACACTGTCCCGTGCTTGCTTAAGGCAATGAAACATTGACGTGTCGACCTCCGGTGCGATGGCAATGTTGGGAACTGCTCCGTGTCCGGTGTTGTAGTTAAATAACAGGTTTTGGCTCAGTTTTATCCTCACATAGGGTATAATGGTATGTATTTACTTATTTTTTTCCTTCCAGGCTAATTCGGGAGGCTTTAGCCATAAATTAGTCAGTGAGATGGACTTGCAAGTGATTTTGGGAAAATACAGGAGAGGAAACGAAACTCCTTTTAAATGCATAAAGCGCCTGCAATAGTCCTTTGTTGACTTTGCGGAAACTTGTTTTTGTTGCTTTTGTACTTCATAATGTTTGTGGTTCGAAGCTTTTAATAAAAGCTCGCCCTCGCTGCGTGGTACAATTAACCTGCAGCATCTGGCGCCGGAGTAGGCTTTGCTGGGGAAATCTTGTGTTTCCACTGAACTGCTCAGTGTCTTTGTGTGCATATCGAAAAGCAGAGGGTTTGGAAACCTAGAAGTGCGCTTTCATTCTTCCACCATCACACCGAATACGCGCTGCAAAACTTCTGGTTGTTTGCGTTGGAAATATGCCGTGACACTTGCAGCTCGAGCTGCGTCCTCGTGTCTGGGAGCGCTGCGTAAACAAGCGGTCGTCTGTTTGCAAACCCGGGGGTAACACATGCGTGGGGTGGTGGCCTGAGGTTTTGCTCTTCGTGCTTCATTCTGCTCAATCCTAAATTTTTACTGGCTGTGTGTATTTTTATTTTTTATTTTTTCCTTTACTGTGCGTTAGGCTGGACTAACCTAAGAGGGTTTTTTTTCCCCCCCTTTTTTTCCTTCATCCAGTAGCAATAAGGTTCATCTTTTATCCAGCATTTACCCCTTTTTCCAGGCTGGTATTTCCCTTTGCAATGGGTCTGTGAATACGCAATACCCCATCCTGCCTTCTTGGTCTCTCTATTGCCTTGGTCTAGGAGCCGATGCAGACGGTTCAGGTCTTTAAATCACCGATGTCTCAGGCCAGCCGCTGCCTGGCCCCTCGGTGTCTTCCTACTCCGCCGTCTTCTCCTGCTGCGACGTCCTTTTCCATCTCATCTCACCTCCAGGTCGGTCTCTGGGTTTTTTCTGGGGTGCTAATGGTGTGCTGATTCCCTCTCTCCAGCCATCAGCTGAGGAACAGATAACCCCTGTCCTGCTCTCCGAAGCCTCCCGCCTTGCTGGTTTGATTGTGTGTATTAATGCAATTAAAAATTAGCACAACCGCCGCTGATGTGGCTTTGATGGACATCGGAGGGGCTGAGCAGTGCAACCACGCGTCCTGCTGCAATCCTAGCTGCCGGTTCAGATCTCCATCCCCGTTTGCTCCTGCCATCGTGTCTAAAACAAGACTGAACTTTCAGATACGATGTCTCCCGCCTAGAGGAGTATTGGCGATTGCTTGGTTCAGAGGAGTTTTGCGCTATAACGCTGTGCTGCTGCGTTTTTCCTGGCATCCAGGGTTGCCTCTTGGGCAACGACTGCAAGTTCTTTAGCTGAGGTTGGCTACAGAGACTGGTAGAACAGAGATTTTAATATCAAGGTCTTTTACTCCCATCCTCTCTTGTGCAAGAAACCTTATTCCTTTTCTCACAACTTGCTTGTTTCTTGTTTTTTTTTTTTTAATTTAATTTATTTTAAACCTCTTGTCATTTGCTCCTCACCACGCGACTCTCCAATGTGACCAGGTCTCCCAGCCAGCAAGATGCCTGCTCTGAGGGTGGAGGAGAAATAGTACTTCTGTGTCTTGATAAATTTGCACATCAATATTACAGCACTTAAAATCTAATTTAAAAAAAAAAAAAAAAGTAGGCGAGCTGAAAATGAATGAGTCTGTGCTTCCCCTTGCTTATAAATATATATCAAATGGTATTTTGAACTGCTGGTTCTTCTGGGAATTCAGGGATATTTAAATAGCAAGTGTGAAAGGGTAAATAATATCAAGATAAAAATAATTCTTTCGATTCCCTGCCTGTACCATAAACACATTCTGCTAGATGAAAATGGAGAGAACTTTTAAAAAATCTAATCTGCTTCTCCCATCTTCATTATCTTCCTTCCTACACTTCAGTTAGTTTGGGCAGTGGGGTGGGTAGGTGGCTCTCGCTTGGCTTTTTATGGACCTTCTGAGGGTTGCTGGTGCTGCAGGGGAGCGTGTAAATCCGTGACACCTGAGGGCTTTGTGTGGGCAAGAGGAGCCTCTGCCCGTGTTTGATGTAGGGTTGGAGTCGTCATCCTCGGGGCAAAGGCTGCTTGCACTGGAAGGGACTTGTGCATCCAGGTCTGATCCCCGTGAGACCGGATGGGTGGGTGGATGGATGGATGGAGGACTGGGTCTTCCCACTGGAACGTGGTTGGTGGTGTCTCCCTGACCATAAGAGTGGATGCGTTTGCCTACGGCATGATCCATTTGGTCTAAATTTCATCCAGATTTTTAAGCGTGAGCTTAACTCGCAACATGAAGCATCAGAGCGTGCCTACACGCTGGGGGAATATTGCAAAACTCCTCCTCCAGCAGCATCACCAACCCTTCAAATTGCATTTTTCTTTTTCAGCATACTTTTTGACACGTGCAAGTAAAATCTGGCCGCAAACTTGTGTTGGCGTTGCCAGCCGTGGCGTTAAGTGTTGCAAAGATGAAGGGAGGCTCATGCCCGTTGCTTGATGTTGAGTGCCCAAAAAGCTACGTATGAAATTCATGCTATCGCCCTACTGCGAAGGAGCATGCGTCCTTTTCCTGTCAGGAAGGTTATTTGTGGTTTTTAATAATACACTGTGTTTCCAAAGAATATGGTCAAGATAAGAATCCCACTCTCTTTTTTTTTTTGCTTGCCTTGCAAATGATGGTATGCAAGATTAAAATAATGCAAAAGAGTTAAATTAATCTGATTTAACACTTGCAGGGAGGTTTCTATTTAAAACTCTCCTTTTTCTTCATAGTATCACTAGTCAGGAAATTCAGTAGGCAGGTGCCATCTCTTTGTTGCAGTGCATGGGCACGTCTCTGCTTTCCAGTGTTTCTGGTGATGGAAAAAATAGCATTTAACTAAAAAAAAAAAACCAACCAAAAAACGGGCAGGATGGATTATTATTTTTTTTTCCATGACCGTTTTGCTTGTAGCGCCATTAGAAAGCGAAGATTGCATTGGTGATCAGTCAATTTTTTAAATATATTCTGAAAATGGGTAAAAAAAAAAGAAGAAATGGTGTATCAGCAGGTGTTTTTTAATGGTCTTGTGCTGGGATGTGGAGCTGTGGGGGAAAGCTGTGCCAAGGGCAGCTGAGGTGTGTTGGCTACTCATCTGCTGGGATGCTGCAAGCAAAATCTGCAAAACATTTTCCAGCTTCTCCTTGAATGAAGTCGAACTTGGCTGCAATACCTATACTTACTTTTTTTTAGTAATTGTACTTTTTTTTTTTTTTAAAGTAAACGCTCGTGTTGGGTTAGGCTGCGATTTCTTCGCTCTCTCTGTAATCTCTTCCCTAAATAAAAGCAGAAAATAACTGCAAAATGGTTTATGCTCTTCGTTGTGTAGCGTTTGTTTTGTTCTTGTTCCGCTATCACCCCTGCTGCAAAGCCACACTTTGCAAAAATGTGATTTTTTTTTTTTAAGGTTATCGGGGACTTTATTTGTCCTCCTTCCCCTGCTGCATACATTTATTATGATTATAGTCTTGAATAACCTGGCCATGTA